AATTCTGCCTGATGCATGAATTTCAGCAAGACTGCCCTTGTTCCTCAGTACTCCACATTCTTATGTACTAATACATATTCTGACTCCCACATGTTGCACCAAAATGCTCAGCGATAAAATATCTTCCTATTTTTTCACATCTTGTGTGTGTGCACATGTGTTGTGTGTGTGAATACTCTGTACTGCTTTTATTCACAGGAAGAACAAAGCATGTTAAAAAACTGGTATGAATTTGATTGAATGTAGACTTACAGCCAGTGAAGGTAAGTGTACAAGCTCTATAAGAGCATGAGCGCTCTATTTTGATTTCTATAAATGAGACCATTCACAGCACAAAATTCTAACTGAAAATTAGAAACTGAAAAAACATACCCTGAAGACAATTTCCCCGCCACATTTTGTATCAGGTAAGTGTTTTGCTCAGCCATAACACTGAAGCCCACCCCACACCGACGCTGCTGAAATTCCACGAATCTGTCAGTTTTCCAGCCCGGGCCCCGGACGGAGGCAGCTCCCAGGGCACGGCGGGGCCACGGCCACGGCCACGGTACGGCCACGGCTCGGCTGCCCGAATGGCGGCACCGCCGCCCGCAGCGCACACCCTCCACACGCCGGCCCCGCACCCGCCTCTCCCTGCCCCCGCCTGCCCCGTATCCGCCTCTCCCTCAGCTGCCGGCTCCGCATCCTTGTGCTCCCCGCCCTCCGGCATGGCGCAGGGGGAGCCGCGGCTGTGCGCGGCCCATGCTGGGCGGCCGCTGGAGCTGTTCTGCGAGGACTGCGGGTGCTGCGTGTGCGCGCTGTGCCCGGCGCTGGGCGCGCACCGCGGGCACCGCGCCTGCCTCCTGCCGCAGGCCGTCCGCCGCACGCAGGTGAGTGCCGGCCCGGGCCGCTGTGCCGCGGAGCGGGGGTGAAACTGGAGCTGAGACAACATCTTCCTCATGCCGTGTCTTGCCGGTCGTCCCCTCGTTTCTGAAACGTGTGCCTCTAGGTTTTCTTTGGCTAGAGTGTGATGGTGGTGTCTGTGAGTACTAGTGCAGTGCCACAGAACTAAGCCGATCTTCAGCCTTTAGCCTTACTTTGCTTGCCTTATCAACACCGTGTGGAGTTCAAGGTTTGTAGACTGTGTTAACTAAGAACAAAGTTTCTGTACTTTCTGTAGTTCAGCTTTGTAGATCCCATACAGACAAAGTCAGTCTGATGCCACTGCACAAGGATGGGGGTCGTGTACGAAAAGGAGAGAGTCAATCAGTCACACCCAAGCGTCCACAAAACAGGTATATAAATCAAGGGGTAAGGAAGAAGTGACTTTCACTGTTAGATCACATGCAGCAGCGTTTTATCCTCTGACCTTGTATGTGGAATCAGTGTGGCTGTTTCAGGAAATTTGTTTTTATTGACAGGCTAGAAGAACCTTTGACCAAAACACAGATGCCTTAGGGTAAGGGGAAAGGTCATTTCTGTTTACCCCCTGGCCCCACCATGGTAGCTGGTTAGATCACAATGACTGCCCATTCACAGTTCTCTGATAACTCCTCTGGGATGTTGTGGGTTAACTCCAATAGGCAGCTAAGCACAACACAGCTGCCTGCTTATTCCGCTTCCTTGCCCAGTGGGACAGGGGAAGAGAAACATTAAAACCAAGAAAATTCATGGATTAGGATAAAAATAAGTTTAATAAGAGAAGAAGTGGAGGGAAGAGAAAAAGAACAAAAGTGTTGCAGAGGCAGACACTCATCATACAGTTCCTGAGCAAAAGGCAGCTAGCCCACCTAAACACCCCTCTTCCAGTTTGCAGAACATGATGTTATATGGTACTACTCTTTGATTAGTAGGGGTCATGTCCTGCTTGTTTCCCCTTCTAGTCTTCTGCGCACTCACAGAGTAGTCACATCTGAAACACAGCACCACACAGGTTGCTGAAAGGAAAATGAACTCCATCCCAGCCACAGCCAGCCCAGGGATTCTTCCCTAAGATTTTTTTCTTTATGCCAGTGTAGCTGTCCACCAAATACCCTCAGGAAGTTTTGCAAGCTTGCCAATACTCCTGCATGTGCTGTTTTACTTGGAAAGACTGCCAGGAGGCTTACTAAGGCCTGCGTGCTGTGGTGCTAACCTTGGGAGACTTAAAATACTGTAACACAGAAGTTTGATGTTCAGAAGCTCCTCTTTCTTTCTTTCTTTCTTTCTTTCTTTCTTTCTTTCTTTCTTTCTTTCTTTTTCTTTCTTTCTTTCTTTCTTTCTTTCTTTCTTTCTTTCTTTCTTTCTTTCTTTCTTTCTTTCTTTCTTTCTTTCCTTCTTTCTTTCTCTCTCTCTCTTTCTTTCTCTCTTTTCTTTCTTTCTTTTCTTTCTTATCTTTCTGTTCTTTTTTTTCCTTCTTTCTTCTTTCTTCTTTCTTCTTTCCCTTCCTTTCCCTTCCCTTCCCTTCCCTTCCCTTCCCTTCCCTTCCCTTCCCTTTTTCCCTTTTTCCCTTTTTTCCTTTTTTTTTCCTCTACAACTTCAGAAAGTTTCTTCTCACTCCTTGTGTGATATAGGAGGTCTCCTGCAGAAAACACTAGGAAGAAACAGTTCCTACAGAACTTCCTGCTTGGAAGTTCACACAGATTGTGAGCCAGTACACAGGTCATGATAAACTCTTGGAACATTCCATTGCACTTCATGTTACAGAGCATTACAAGGGAAGAGGGCTGTGTAAACAGCAGCACAGAGGTAAAACTATTCAAGACATCTGAGCAACGCAGAGCACTGCACCTGCCTGCCGGTTTGCTTTCACCCAAAGTGTCCCTCTTCCAGGTGGGAACTCACTAAATTGTTTGTGTTCCCTTCACGACAGGGTGGCAGGGGTGGCTGATGCACGTATTGTGCAGTGGCAACCTGATCTGAGGCCAAGTGCACAAATCTAGAAACTGTGCTGCTTCCCTGGGGGTCTGATGGACAGAGAGAAGGAAGCATGTGCTGTTGATAAAGGCTTGTTTCTGCTAAATCAGGAAGTGAGTGGGGTAGAAACTTGTACTCCTGTGTGACCCTCTGTCCCTGTGAAGTATCTGCTGACATCTACTGGCTTAGGGCTGCAGGGATTTTAGGCACAAACTATCAATGATTTTGGCTTAAGTGATGGTATTTTGACTAGTGATTTTGTTTGCTGTGAGCAGTTATTCAGTACAGCTCTTGTGGTGTGACATCAGCCAGGCAGCACTTCTTGCATTGAGAATCTTCCACAGCTCTTTCAGCAGGTCCTAGCTGTGAGTGCTAAGAAGACATGAAAATCATTGTGAGAGATCCATCAGCTGCTTCGTCCTTGGAGCAGAGATTGTTTAAAATCATCGAAAAGGATATTCCCTGTGCTCCTGAATGCAGCACACAGTATCAGCATTCTTTGCACTTGATATGTGTCCTGTGAGCTTGACTGGAGTTCTGAGTGTCATCTCAGAAATCCTTGCTTTTACAGTGTTTTCATTTGAATGAGTTAAAGCTCCCAGGCAATCCCTAAAGGAAGATTTTCAGTTGATTCCTCAGGGTGAATGACATGGGTTGCTGGCATAGTCTTCAATTGGTAGGAAGCAGCTCTTTCATGTATCTCTGTAAAGAAAGTAATGCTTAACCAGAAATGCTTGGGATTAATATAAGTATTTGCATATGGTCACTGTTGTGAGTGCACAAAGTGATGTGTGTTCCTTGCAAAGAAGGAAGATTGGGTTTTTTGCTGTGGTCTTTGTCAGTCTTTGAGGAAAGGAATGAGGTCAAGGCTGCAAAATAAACTGAGGAAGGCTGGTACCTGGTAGAATTCCTGAATCCTCTAGTGGTGTAGAACACTTCTGGTTGTTCAGGGACAAGACTAGAAAACTGTGGCTGGAATAAATAGCATGAGTGTCTTGCTCTGTGCAAGAACATTTACCCGCTTGCATGGATGTGTCTGTGTCAGGGCCTTCCAGATGCAGAGTCTCTGGCTTTTGCTGGGACCCCATTTTCTTCTGACTCTGTCGTACTCAAATGACAAACAATGCAGGTGTTTTCTAAGGAGACATGTCAGAAATGCAAACCGTTGCTTCATGCTCTATTTGTCCTTGCTGCAGAGTTTAAATGCTGTGGTGCCCTAGGGCTGTGGCAGTGACCTGGTACATGTGCATGCAGGTGTTCTTGACTGGGTCTCAGCTGCAGAAGAGGACACTGACAGCAGCTACAGGCAGCACTAGCTTACCTGGTGTTTACTGAGGGCCTGTTTTAGCACCAGTGCACTGACAGCACTGTGGGGCAGCATTGCCTGTACCCTTCCTGTTACTAATGACAAAAATGCATTAGCAGGCATACCAAGATTGTTCAACCTGCTGGGCAGAGGGCAGCCAATTTCAGAGGGCTGCAGGTGAGAAACTGGAGCAAGATATAAGCAGAACATTGATTATGCTGTGCTGGGCACACCATAATCTGAGAAGTGTCACAGATACTGTGACTGATTACTAGCCATGCTGACACTATTAGCTGTTGCAAATGTTCAGACTACAGCATCACTGTGGCAATAGTGAGGTATCTGATTGGTCATTTGTACACTGGGAAGCATCCTAAACATTCACCGGATTTTTAGATAAGTGGAGCCTTCCACTTGTCCTCTAAATAAAAGTACTTAGTTGCCCTTCAGCTGCTAAATGCATTAGCATGTAATGGAAATACGCAGCACCATAGATTAAAGATGGATATGTTTTTTTCACTTTGGGTTTCCCTGTGCCTTAAGAAGGTGGTGCTAATTTGCCCAGCTGTCCAAACCTTACCAGTATAACCACCAGGGGAAATGCTGAAATCCTTATGGTTCATCACTATACTGGCCTTAATAAGCCTCATAAAAGGCCTTTCATTTAAGAGTTTCACCTTCCAATTCAGAATATTCTGATTCTGAAACAGTATATTTCAGTAACCCCCCCTATATGAAAATCAAGCTGGATAGTTGTTTCTGGTTTTTACAGGTGTTATGAAACAGCGTTTTATTTTGTTTCATTGTTGTATAGGAACTCATGGCATTGTGCTTGAAGAATCTAGAAGAGAGAAAAGAGGAAGAAGATGGCAACAGAAGGAGCATAGAGCAGGCTGTAAATGATGTGAAGGTAAAGTGTGGTTTCATTCTCCACTGGATGGTCATTTTCCAAGGGGAGACATTTTGTTTTCTCTGTAGCTATTCAAAGACCCAGCCATCCAGTGGCTACTCTACTTCCCAGGAGAAGAGTGTATTCCCTGTATTCATCACAATATATTACACTACCAAAGAGAGGGAAGAGGGAGAGTCTCCAAAGACCTGATCCTCATTCCTTGATCAGCTGAACATCTCTGGAAGACCAAGGATAAAATTTTTATGCAGAGGAATAGTAGATAGCCCCAGCTGCATATGTTATTCTGGCTACACTTATGTATCTTGTATGATATGCACTGAACTTGTATGATATGGACTGAACTGCATTATTGAATTTTCTGTATTCAGAGTTGAGTAAACACAGTTCTGTTGACTCTGTCTTAAGAATGGGAATGTATGCTAAGCTGCACCTCATTTATAGAGCATGAAATGACTTCTGCTCTAAGGAGCATCGCTAGGCACTTCTGTTACAGAAATGTCAGTAAGAGCTTGAGGGAGCTTTAGAGACTTGGCCTGATGCCATGTTCTTTGGGAAGCTTTCTCTTCCTACCACTTACTTGTCTCTGGCTTGCTTTAAAAGCAGTCAAAGTCTTGCTACTGAAGAAAAAGATCTGTTTCTTGTTGCAAATGGTACCCTGTTAATTCCAGCCGAAAACAGATTTTTTGACATAAATAGGCATCTTGGAATCTTCTCTCACTCTTTTCCATCCAGACATCAGCAGGTAGATCATATCTGTGCTCCCTTAAGGGGTAGAGACATGTTTCTGAAGAGATGGAGAAAATCAGTAGAATTCAACCAAAACATAGCACTAAAATCCTGAAAGAGAAATGTCTGAAATGTTTATGGTCTGTTGAGCAGGGGGGAGACATTCTTCTGCTTTATCCATAGGCACATGCTGATATGATTAAACGACAGCTGTCAGAAAAAATGACTGAGCTTCAGTTACTTCTTCGGGAGGAAGAGAGTCTGGCAAAAATCTTCATTGATGAAAAGACTCAGCAAGCTCTGGGAACATATGATCAGCATTTGAGGTCCTGTAAAGAACAGCTGGAAGCCCTCGACACCTTCACACATCGAATCAGACAAATACAACAGGACAGTGATCCTATTAATTTGCTGGAGGTGGTATTGTATGGTCTCTTTCTACCTCTTACCCTGACAGTCCTTGGTGAATTTCTCTAGTAATGTCTTCTATAGATCCTTCTGTATGTAAGCAGCATCTTCCTAAGTGCTTTTTAATTTGCTTTGTGTTGCTGTTTTGGTGAACAAATTTGGTTCCTGATTTTTGAGCTATTGGGTCTTCCTGCTGTGGCATTGATTTCAGGTCTGTATGAAATTCATGTTAATTTTAAGCACAGATGGAAAAGACACGTCTCTTAAAGACAAATGCTGTATCAAGTCTTTCCTTGTGTGATATGAAGGTATGAGAAAAGCCAGTCCTCAGGCAACCTCAGGAGGGAAGTTAAAATCTGTAATTTCCTTAATTGCAAGAAATCCTAATCACCATAAGCCTTCACTTCACTGGAGAAAGCAATGCTGTTCCTTTTTCCTACAGATGATGATCTTCACCTTCCTTGGAAAGATTATGTTGCCATGTGCTTGTGCCCTGACACAAGACAAAAGATGCAGTTTCTTACAGGATGCATTTTTGCATCCTTGCAATGTGTCAGACTGCAGTTTCCATTGCTGTGATATGGCCCTGGCATTCTGCTGTGTGTTCTAGCAACACACCTACACACAGGAGCGGCTCTTTGTGATTTTGTGGAGATTTTCTTGTGGGGAAGTTGGATTTTATTCTTCAAATTGGTTTTAAAACTTAATAGTTTGATTTTGCCATTGATGGGATTTCCCACAAAGGGTCCTGGCTAGGCTAAACTCATTTCCATCCTGGAGGGATCTCTTTAACTGTGGCTGTTGGGTTCTCCATGTCTGGGATGGCTCCACTGGCAGGAGGATGTAATGGGCAGGCTAATGAGCTAAAAGGCAGGCTGATCTCACCAAGTTTGCCTGTGATGGCCCATAGGTTTACCTCATGTTGGAGCTGTCCTTGCTTTGTGGTGTATGGGAGCTCGAATGGAAGAGTCCTTTCATGTCACAGTCTCTGCTAATTGTAGTGTTTGGCTTTCTGCTCTCAGAAGTACGCAGAAATTGAGAAGGAAATTAAGGAATCCAGACACCCATTAGAAAAGTGGCATCCAATACCGCTCTCGTTTGAACACTTACTTAACCATTATAAACACTTCATCAGAGCTCTGCAGTCCATTCTACAGAAACCATTGGATGCCCGGCTTAAAGAAGGTACCTGAGAGAGTGCTCTGAATTTTGCTTTCTTCTGCTGTCTTTGGAAATAAAGTGTACTTTTTAAGTAATAACAGGACTTTTTACCAAATCATCTGGAGAAACAACAGTTTTTCAGGCATGGGTACTGCTTTCTGTCAGCATGAGTGTAATGCTGTTATAGGTGATTTAGGTGATATAGTGGTGATTTAGGAACTAAGAGATTTCTCTTCCAACTCTGAAGATGATCTTTGGTTTGTCTGTTGCTTTTTTTCCCCAGTTCCATCAGGTATTTCAATACAACTTAATGTAGACCATCACACCTATAGAATGTATCTATTCTCTCAGTTACAATTGAGTGCAAGTGCTCTGGCAATGGGGTACCTCTAAAATTTGAAAGCTTTTTTTAATTGATGTACCTGGTGATCTGCCTCAGTCTGAAAAAAATTGATGATTTTTAGTACAGTAAAGCTGAACTAACATGTTGTATATAGAAATCCTTTTGTCTTTGAGCTGTTAGTTCATCCTTCAATGACCTTTGGCATAATGAAGGCAAGCAGTTTTTCCTAATGGGGCACAGAGGCACAAAGCTAAATAACCATGGGAAAATCCTGCTGCTCTTTGAGTGAGCAGGCAACACTGGCCATCATATTTCACCCAGCTGCCTTTTAAGCCCTTATCAGAGAATTGCCACTGAAAAGACTGTGGCAGGTTGCTGGGGCAAATGGTCAGATCTGATCTGAAAGACTGCAGGATGTGTGTAGGACTGCTACTGCAGCAAGCACCTGCAGCTATCTTCAGCTGCCTATTTCATCTGATGAGGGCCAGTTTTAAAGGAATCAGGTCTGATTACTTGGTGTTGTGCTCAATTGTGTATTTCTGTGGGAACACTAGTCCAGCATCTCCATACTATGCAAAGAGCATAATGCTGAAAGCATAGAATGAGTAGCCCCTCCCCAGAAAAAGTAACATAGTTAGTAACATAGTTTGTCCATGAAGTTGGAAAATGATTGTTGACTCCCTAAGCTGTCCCTTTTCATCTTTGCCCAGATGTTTTCAGTAGCCTTAATCCCACTGCAAAGAAGGAGCCTGGGACAGTGCTGAAAACCATGACTCCTGTTGATCGGTTGCTTTTCTTAAAACGTAAGTATGATTATGCTAGAATCCTAGAATCTCCTGAGCTGGAATGGACCCACAAAAATCACTAGGGTCCAACTCCTGGGCCTGCACAGGACCACGTATCTGAGAGCGTTGTCTAAGTGCTTCTTGAGCTCTGTCAGGGTTGATGCTGTGATCACTTCTCTGGGGAGCCTGTTCCAGTGCACAAACACCCTCTGGGGAACCTTTCCTAACCTCTTCCTAACCTAAGCCTTGCCTGACAGAATTTTCAGGCCATTCCCTCGGGTCCTGTCATTGTCATCACAGAGAAGAGATCAGTGCCTGCCCCTTCTCTCCCCGTTACAAGGAAGATGTAAACTACAGTGAGGTCTCCCTTTAGTCTCCTCCAGGCTGAACAGACCACAGGACTGTAACTCTCTGTGTATGGCTTCTGCTTATCCCATCACCATGAGTGATCCAGATTAGAAATGTGTGGAGGCACCAGTGTTGGTGCCCTGCTGTGATTCCCTTGGCATGCCTTTTGCACTGTCTCTGGAGCTGTGGGCTCTGTGGCTCCCTGAATCCTGACCTTAGCCCAAATAGCAGCTTAGTGCTGTGGCAGAGGTGCGCATCACATTGGTGCCCTACGTTAGAAAGGTGTGGGGACAGCAGTGTTGGTTCACTGCTTTATGCACTTAGCACACATTTTCCAGCCCCTGGAGATGTAGGCTCTGTGACTAGCTGAATCCCATCCCTACCTAATGTACAGTCAGCAATGCTGGGTCCCTGCCTTGCTCTGACTGGAATGCCTTTTCCAGACCCAGTGTCCTTGGACCTGTGGGCTTTCTGGCTGAGTCCTAACTCAAAATGTAAAGCAACCTTGGTGCTGTGGCTGAGGTCCCCATCACCATGGTTGGCCCAGATCACAAAGGTGTGGAGGCAGCAATATTAGTGGCCTGCTCTGACCCCTTTGGCATGCCTTTTCCAGCCCATGTTCCTGGGACTGCAGGCTTTCTGACTGTCCCAAGACACTTTCAACTGTGAGCTCCTTTGCAGGTGTTCTATAACTTGGACTTCTTCCAAGGGTCATGAGAAATGTAGCAAGTCTGATTATGGCTTTTATTGCAGATGCAAGATCACCAACCTGGGAACATGACAGCATTCACCCAAGACTGAAATTGTCAGAAGACCGTCTTGAAGTAAGCTGTAGCTGGAGGAGAATACTCTACCCCTGTAGTCCCAAGAGATTTGATAAATTATGGCAAGTGCTAAGCAGAGACGCATTCCTTTCTGGGAGCCATTACTGGGAAGTTGACCTGCGTTGTGCTGGAGAGGGATGGTGGATTGGCGCAGCCTACCCGACCATTGGCAGGAAAGGAGACTCTGAAGCCTGTCGACTGGGCTGGAATAGAGCATCTTGGTGCCTTAAGAAATTTGATTTTGAATACTGGGCATTTCACAAGGGAGAGAGAATCCCCATCCTGGTAGAAGATGATCCTGATTGCATTGGCATTTTTCTAGATTATGAAGCAGGAATCCTTTCATTCTACAACGTTAGCGATGGCATGGCTCATTTGCACACCTTCTGCTGCAAGTTCACAGAACCAGTTTATCCAGCCCTGAGACTCTGGGAAGGGTCCATTAGAACATGCAAACTAACATAAGAAACAAAGCCTACTAGTTCATGCTTTTTCTGCTAATGCCATTTCAGCAATTTTCTATATGAATTCATCTCTGTTGTATCAAAGTTGTAATTATGATGCTTTTAGAAGGTAACATAAGCTTAGGAGAACCGACTGTGATTTTTAATGTGTATTTTTTTTTAATGAAGGAAGGTGACCTCACTTTTATAAATTATGTTGATATACCACTCAAAGTGCAGTATATAGTATTATGGTGCTTTTTTCAAATTGTAACAGTAAGTTCAAGAAAATCAACTGTATTTTTTTAATGTATATGTGTTTTTCAATGGGGAAAGATTATTTGACTTATAAATGGTGTTGCTGTACCACCTGAAGTGCCATATGTAGTATTTTTCAACTTGTAAAATGGAAGAAGTCAGGTTGAAAGATACATATTACAACCCAGACTGGAACATGGATATTGACTTTTGGAAAATTTTTTTAATGAACTCCCTCCCCTTATCAGCCTGGAGAGGCTGCAATTGTGTATGGCAATAGGTTTAGTTTGGTTCAAGCTTCAAGATTTTATACTGCATATTGTTATCATTGACAAGGTCAGATTTGGATAATAAATGCACTAAGTAAATTAGCTCATATTTAAGTGTCAGCTTGGAAAAATCAAAGTCTGGCACTGACTCTTGGAAAGGTCCCTTCTGAAACTGGAGCTTCTGTCACCACATTTAATAGTCACTAGCTGGTCTTACATGTGACAGAAGCTCTGAATTGGACTTCTGGGTGGCCCTATTCTTTCCATTGAGTGATAGCATGAGAAAAAGCTGTGTACAACCCCTAGGAGGATGAAATGTCTGCAGGGCTCACAGGTGCAATGAAAACACCAGGCCAGAGGTGCATTTGTGGCCCATTTATGTTTGCGTCCAATTTGCAACATTCACGTAAAACTAGGGGACACAGCTTGCAATTTTCTGTATATGCATGTCTTCCCCCCCATCAATACATTAATTAAAGTCCTGGACATTTCTGGAGCTTTTGCTTACAGCAGTCTCCAGGACCAGCCTAGAGTGAAAAACCACTTCTACTTGAAACTGGTCAGGTAATGTTACAGTGTTCAAACACTAAAGGCCCTGCATCACCAGTGCTGGCAAAGGCAAGGTCTGACCATAGCCTGAAATGCAGAAATAAGAGCTTGTTTTATAAGCTAAATTTATTTTTCAAATTTGAAATGAAAAAAAAAAATCTTTTAAAAATTAAGTATTTTTTTAATGTAAGGCAAGCATACTGCATCAGTCACAGATCACATATGGTGAAGTATATGACTCAACCTCTGCTTCCCCATTTAAAGATATGAATACAGTTTCCTCAGAATTGCACATCTTGAAAGTAAATAGTATATAGGTACAAAACCACTCACCACCAAATTCAAGATACTTCACCAACTCATGACAAAAAGGTAGCAAGTTCCAAGTAACCATCACTAGTAAATGATTCCACCACAGAACAAAAGCAGATTAAGTATTGCAAAGCAGTTCTGTCCTAAGCAAGGTAGTTGAAGAATTAATGGCTTGCAGCTGCTGCTATACAGCTCCCTTCTGGTCAAAGGGAAAACCAGCAGGCAATACGAGTGGTATTGCATTTCTCAAATGAAAAATGAGAAGCTGGGACGCAAGAGCAGACCACACAAATCATGTACTGACCGTCATGCTGAAGCACAATGGTGTAAATGTAGTCAGGCAGTCAGCCTCAGCCATGTCCCAACACACCAGTGTTGGGAGAAAAATCCCAATGTAGAGGATTCTGCTTAGTACAGAAAAAAAAAAGCTGCTAAAACTTCACCAGCATTTGCTTCCTACCTGAGAAGCTCCCCCCAGGTCCAACAGAGGCATCCAAATGCTCTGCAGAATCAACTTAATATTCCAGACTTCACTCAACTTGCAATAGATGCTTTTCAGAATTTCCGAAGCATAAATTAAACTTATTTCCACTGATTCGTCTCAGATCTACTTTTCTTCCCTCCTCAATCTCTCTGGCATGCCTTTTGGCCTTTCAGTTCAAAAAAGGCTCTCTTGCTCCTTAAATGGGACCTTTGTAAATATCACTATGCTTCCTTTCCTGGTACTGTCTCTTGAGAAATTAGCTTTCTCAAGAAGCCCATTTTCCCACAGAATACAGATTGCTGCAACCCACTGCTTTATCATGACACTTTTAAGAGTTTCATCTTAAAAAAAAAAATCCATCCAGGTTGCATTTGTAGTTTTCTGTTCAGTGTAAACCTTCACTTATCTGTATTCAACTCCAACCAGAGTCCTGCTATCACACAGGTGAGGCAAATGGCAGAAAAGAGAGGAGTATCAAAAGATACAGGGCTAGAACAATTCAAAGTGTAGACAAAATTCTGATAATTCACTGTATTCTTAACAGAAAAGGGAAGGTGGAAAGTGGCAGACTGTGGTCTTGTATTTGGCAGAACTCCAAATTAATCTAGGTTAAGTGAAATGGAGAAGAGAGGATCATGGCATTTCCTAGGCACAATGCTATACAATTTCTAACAAAATCTTCATAATTTATATCCCCTTTGCTTCTGAAACTTCCTGCTAACAAGAACCTGAAAATTCTATCCTGTTTGTACCCTCATAATTACACCCCTTTCTTCTAATCTACCATGCTGCTATTCTCAAACACATTGCATGGTAGTACATTGAGAAATATGGAATGGAGTGCTTTGGTTTAGCACTTCACTTTTTTTACGTGATTTTCCACTGCTTGCTCTGTGATGGTTTCATCTTCTTCAATAGTTCTTTTAACCTTCTGGCCCACCAGGTCAAAGATGCATTCTGGAGGAAATCCCTTTGGCTCTCCCACCTTCACTGTCAGCATGTCAAGTGTCAACACTGCACCTTCAGGAATTGCCACTTTTGCCACTACCGACTTTCCCAGCTACAGGGAGGGGGAAAAAAACAATGCTGAAGTTAAATACATTGCTAGCTTAGTATAACATAAAAGGACAAAAAAATGTTCTGCAGTTATTTTAGAACAGGTTGTGTAGAATTGCCTTCTCCATTACTTATTCCAAACGAAGATTAATTTAGCATGGTTACTCTCACTGTAACTAGGCTGCCAGGAACATGCAGATGTTTTCTGAAACTGGACAGTGGCTCACTGGAATTTTTCAAAATCACAATGGAGGGAATCTGATTAGAATGACTGGCATTTTAGCTTAGTGCAAAAGCAGCTAATATAAAATCATAGAGGTATTATTCCTATTACGATTGCCAAGTACCTGGCACTGGTGGGGCCACACCTCAAATCCTGTGTCCAGTTCTGGACCCCTTATTACAAGAAGGACATTGAAATGCTGGAGTGAATCCAGAGAAAGGCCACAAAGCTGGTGAAATGTCTGGAGCACAAGTCCTTTGAAAAGTGGCTGAGGGAGCTGGGGGATGCTTAGCCTGGAGAAAAGGAAGCTCAGAGGGGGCCTTATCACTGTCTACAGCTCCATGAGAGGATGCTGTAGTCAGCTGAGTGGTCTCTTCTCCCAGGCAGCAAATGACAGAAAAAGAGGAAATGGCCTCAAGCTGTGCCACGGGAGGGTTAGACTAGATATTAGGAAAAATTTCTTCTCTAAAAGGGTGACCAAGCACTCAAACAGTCTAGAACATGGAAGCAGTTGAGACATGATTCCTGGAGTTATTTAAAATGTGTAGACATGGCACTTAGGAACATACATTAGTGGTTGAGCTTGGCAGTGTTAGGTTGGACTAAATGACCTCACGGGTCTTTTCCAACTTAAATGATTCCAGGCTGTTACTCAACTTAGTTAACCACTGGATGATAAACACAGACCTCTATTATAATCAAAACTGCCAACATTATGCAGTGTGAAATTTTTTAAGTGCAGAGGCAGAAATGCTACTGCAATAAACAATTCACAACCTATTTTTCTGAATACAGAGTTATTAGCTATAGGTCTAAATTAGTTGCAGGTTTACACAAACTAAAATCAAAAGTTACCTTTTCATTGCAAGCCATTTCACAGGGCAAGAGCTGTTTGATTGGAGAACCCATTGCTTTTTCCACAGTACGGATGGCTTTCACTAAGTCTGCCAGCTCATTTGGCTCCAGAGATGCTTGGTGGTCGCTTCCTTTCCATGTTTTGTCAAGAGTCACGTGCCGTTCCAGTACTTTAGCACCCATAGCAACAGCTGCCACTGAAATGGCTATGCCAGTTTCATGCCCCGAATAGCCAATGGGGATATCAGGAAAAGCTGACTGGTATGCCTTGAATCACAACAGAGTTGGTCTGAATTACCAAGGCAGCAGTTTCAAAAACAAAGCAAATTTAATAGTGATAACTGCAGTGGACAAATACTGTGCCATAAACAAGTAGTTGGATATGCAGAGAATGCAACCTTTTAAATTCAACAAGTTACACTGCATTACCAATCACCACATTCCAAATCTGACTAATATTATCAATACCGACAAGGAAGCATGTTCTCTTCTACAATTTACATTTCTCGTTTTAATACACTTCTACTATTCAAGGTCTTCAAGGCCTGTATTAGCCTAAGTAACAGTAATAGTATCCTATTTTTATCCAAGAAGCCAGTGGATTGGTTAAACTTAATCTGTATCCAAAACAGATTTCTTCAACATCGTATTTAAAATCTGAAGCAACCTTTTAATCCAAGCACAGAGAACAGTCACCAAGTCCTAAAAGCACTTAAATGCAGCCATGTGTCATTCTATTAAAAATAATATACTATGTGTATAGTATATTATAGATCTAAGGTAGTGCTTGAACACTGGCCAGTTTGGGAAAACTTTCTTACATCACTATTTGGCATATACAAGTAATAGTCACATGAAACTTTTTAAACAAAGTTTCTGGTCTAGCTTCCTATTTAGAATTACATTCTCATTTCATGCACCTTCTAAAATGATAACAGTCTACATGATTTTTGTTAGCACTAAAAACCACAGGGTTAACCTCATAACCATGTCATGTTTTCCTCTGTTGAACTGTGAATACTCCAGCAATATCCTTTATCATATTCCTCAAAGATGAGTTCTACTAAAAAAGGACCCGGTGGATCTTTTAACTTCAGTGTGAATTAGAGGAACATGACACATCCTGTAACTTCCCAGAA